CCTCTAGGCCCCCTCCCCCCAGGCCACAACCTCCTGCACCTCCTAAGAACACCAAAGATTTGATCCTGTCCGTGACCGGTGCGATGGATGCTACTTCGAATCATCTTCTGGATCGTCTACAAGTTTGTATATATATATATATACATACATGTACAACACATATATACCTAATATACATAATATATATACATAAGTAAATGAATCTCTCCTTTTCTCATACCGTCAATCTTGACTTCATTTATTACAGGCAACCAGAACGCCCAGCCCAACTTTGATGCACTCTCCGTCTCCCACACCGGAACACAGTTTCGCAGATTTCTTAGACGTCGACTCGAACGTTCCCGACTTGATGTCGGACGACAACAGCAAAGCGGTCGAGCCACCGAAGAATCGGGACATATTGGATTTGTTCGACGCCCCCAACACGGACACGACAACTACGACCATATTCTCCTCCTCTACGATCGCCGAGGACAGTTCGGGAACAGGGGTGACTCTGATCAGCGCCACGACCCAGGACAATCCATTCGTCAGTATCACGGAACAGCAACCGTCTCCTGTTCAACAGGCGGATGAGTTTCAGGAAACGGTGTCCGTGGCCAGCGAGAAGAGACCCTCGGTCTCGTCCACGACGGGTGCCGTGGGAAGCGATACCGAGAGGGTCGACATGGATCTCGCCGGGGAAACGTTGCGATCATCGAGCACGGGCAACGAATTATTTTCGACCACGGAACAATTGTCCACGTCCGTGACCGAGTCCACGTTCTTCTCCGTCGCGGACACGACTCCCTCTGCCCCGTTTGGAAAAGCGGACACCGTGATCGCGCCATTTTCCACGCCCATGCAAATGTCCGCCGCGCAATCCTTGTTCACGACCTCGGAGATCAGCCTGCCATCTAGCGGACCTTTCGCTTCCGACTTGCTCGGCGACTTCGGCGAGCCTACCAATACCGGTGGCGCCAGGTCGACCAGCCCGATCCCTGGTGCCGAATTCCCTACCAGCGAGGCGTACAAGCCAGAAGAACAGTTGGACAATCTCGCAGCTACTACGCAGCAGAAAACAGCAGAGAGCGGCGGGGATGCTTTCGATATTTTTGCCTCGAAGTTTGACAAGGCTGCGGAACAGGAAACCAACGCCGGAGATCCTTTCCTGGATGCTTTCGGCGGTGGGCCGACCGCCATGGATACGTCCAGCGATGGTAGGCTAATTTTTTTGTTATTTATCAATTTTTCTTCAAAGAATATAAATTATATTATTTTATATACTTGTATACTTAGTTTGGGGCGATTCCTCTGCAACGGGGTCGGAGACAGCAGTGACAGGATTCGGGGAAAGTGACGGGTTCGATTCGTTCTTGAGCATGACTGCACCTCCACCAGAACTGACTGTGAAGAGAACCGAGTCTGTAGATTCGGATGCGGGACCAGATTTCAGCGTGTTCATCAAGTAAGAATTATTTCAAAATTTGGCTTGTGTTCTTGTGAATTGTATATTTGATCTTGGTTCTTGTTCTTTAAAAGACCGAAAGAAGGTGATCAATCTGGAATCGAAGGTGGAGCTGTCCCTGTGCTGGCACCACCACCGAAGAGCCCTCAAAATACCGCCTACGTCGATACCTCGCCACGTTTCAACCCCTTCGACAAATCTGGATCTGCGCAAGACGCCATTCCTACCACGGAAACTGTTCAACCTGAAATCACTAGGACAGATTCTCAGGTATTCTATTTGTATTATGATTTATCTTGAGATGAACGTTATATTTTTATAACCTCTGTCCGGATTTCAGGAAACTCCTCCGACACCTCTGTTCGACGAGGATGTTAGCCAACCTCTGGAAGACTTCCCGAGGGTAACGTACACTGGTGATGGTTGGGATATGCATCTACGCCAGCCTAACAAAAAAAAGATAACTGGTCAACGATTCTGGAAGAAAATTTTCGTCAAGTTGGTTTATCAAGGCGACAATCCTGTGCTCCAATTGTTCAACAGCAGAGAGGATAAGGATCCCTTCCAAGAATTGCCCCTAGTTCCTTCTTATTCAGTTTCTGATATCGGAGCGCAACAGTTTGATCAGTATGGAAAAATATTTACGGTTAAGTTGCAATACATTTTCTACAAGGAACGACCCGGTGTACGGCCTGGTCAGGTAACCAAAGCGGAAAGATTAACGAATAAGCTCAGTCAATTTGCCGCGTACGCCATTCAAGGTGATTATCAGGGGGTTAAGGAATTTGGAAGCGACTTGAAGAAACTTGGTCTTCCTGTGGAACATGCGCCACAGGTGACGTTTCTGCATGTAAAATATAGAGCATAAAATTGTGTATTCAAAATTAATCAATTTTTTTTTTTCCGTATAGATTTCCGAGCTGTTCAAACTTGGCTCCCAATGCTACGAGGACATGAAACAGTTCTCTTGCGCGATCGAGGAAGCTCTGTTCAGATTACCTGCTCATCGAGATCGAGCGCTTAATTATAAGACGGAGGATGTGCAAATAACAGTTGTAGATGAACTATACGTGGAACAGAACGCTCAAGGTCAAGTTGAGAAACAGATAGCTCGTGTTCGATTGTTCTTCTTGGGCTTCCTTTCTGGTAAAACTTTGTCAAATTCTTGGAACCATTTTATCGTACCTGAAACTGAAATTTACTAATTTATAATTTTGATTATATCAGGAATGCCCGATGTAGAGTTGGGAATAAACGACATGTGGCGTCAGGGGAAAGAAGTAGTAGGTAGACACGATATAATTCCAGTGGTAACCGAGGAATGGATCCGTCTTGAAAACGTCGAATTCCACTCTTGCGTTCAACAGGACGAGTATGAAAAATCTAGAATCATAAAGTACGTATCTTAAGGTATATTATATAATTAATCTTTTACAAGAATAATACATATTTTCACAAATGATAACTACAACGATACTAACGAAAGGCTGCATTGCGTCTCTAACACGTGACTAACACTTTTGAAGGTTCAAGCCACCAGATGCATGTTATATCGAACTTATGAGATTTCGAGTAAGGCCTCCTAAAAACAGAGAGCTTCCTCTTCAACTTAAAGCTGTAATGTGCATTACCGGTAATAAGGTAATGTCACTTTTCATTCACAAAAAAAAAAAAAAGAAAAAAAAAAACATACATATTCCAACT